AAATAAAAAAAAAGATTCTCCCATTCAGGGCACCTGGGTGGTTCAGTGGGTAGAGCATCCGACTTTGGCTCAGGTCATGATCTCCCGGTTTGTGAGTTCGTGCCCCGCGATGGGCTCTGTGCTGACAGCTCAGAGCCTGGAGCCTGCTTTGGATTCTGTGTCTCCCTCTCTCTCTGCCCCTCCCCCACTCACACGCTGTCTCTCTCTCCTTCAAAAATAAACATTTAAAAAACAAAAAAGATTCTCACTTTCCTTTTCCCTCTGACCCTGCCCCTCTCACACTTAGGCTTGCACTTGCACTCTCTCAAAAAAAAACTATCAATATCATAGTTCTATGATATTAACATAGTTTTAACTAATCACTAATGTCGTATTCTAAATCTTCAAAGTTTCTTAGACAAAATTTTATTCTTTAAAAAAATAAACCATATTTTCTATTCTAAGTCCTTCTCCACACCAAATAGTAGAATGCAAGGAAAGTCCCAATGGCTTTAAGTCAGAGTATGGAGAAAGAGCTGTCTAAAACTCTATTTGAAATGCAACTAACACATATCAAGCTTAGGTCTTCTATAAAAACACTATAAAAAATGACACTACTTTAATGTTCTCTTTCTACCCATAGGTCAGAAAAACTGATGGAGAAGCTGTGGATTAAAGAGCCAGCAGACAGAAAATGTATTGTCCTTTTTCAAACTTTGGGGAAATCTTAACTGTCAAGTTTTAGATAACAACTCCAGTCATTGTTGGCATCTTAGTATGTTTTTATTTATTTAAATAAAGAATATCCTTCCTGTGACCGGCTTCATTTGGTTTTTTAGTCTTCCTTGTTTTCATATCCTCATTTGTCAACCAAAAGGCTAGAGGGCTTTTTTGCCTATTTCCCTTATTAGTGGAGGAAATACAGTAACCTTAATCATATCCTTTTTTGTTTTTCTTTTTTTACCATTTATTCAGTTTTAAGAGAGAGAGACAGAGCATGAGCAGGGTAGGGGCAGAGAGAGAGACACAGAATCTGAAGCAGGCTCCAGACTCCGAGCTGTCAGCACAGAGCCTGACGTGGGGCTCGAACTCACAAACCATGAGATCATGACCTGAGCTGAAGTCGGACGCTTAACCGACTGAGCCACCCAGGCGCCCCCTTAATCAGATTCTTTATCCTCCGATTATTTTTCTCCTACTCCAAGTCATGTACTACATGACCATCAGATCAACCTTCTTCAATTAATTTTGTACAAACCTTCCATGTTTAAAAGATACAGTTTTGGGGAATGAAAACTGGTGCAGCCACTCTGGAAAACAATATGGAGGTTCCTCAAAAAATTAAAAATAGAACTACCCTACAACCCAGCAATTGCACTACTAGGTACTTATCCAAGGGATACAGGGGTGCTATTTCTAAGGGACACATGCACCCCCATGTTTACAGCAGCACTATCAATAATAGCCAAAGTATGGAAGAGCCCAAATGTTCATCGATAGATGGATAAAGAAGATGTGGTATGTGTGTGCGTGTGCGTATATATATATATACGCACACACACACACAATGGAGTATTACTGGGCAATCAAAAAAAATGAAACCTTGCCATTTGCAACTACATGGATAGAACTATAGGGTATTATGCTAACCGAAATTAGTCAGAGAAAGACAAATATCATATGATTTCATCATACGAGGGCTTTAAGATACAAAACAGATGAACATAAGGGAAGGGAAGCAAAAAAATATATAAAAACAGGAAAGGGGATAAAACATAGGAGACTCTTAAATATGGAGAACAAACAGGATTACTAGAGGGGTTGTGGGAGAGGGGATGGGCTAAATGGGTAAGGGGCATTAAGGAATCTACTCCTGAGATCATTGTTGCACTATATGCTAACTTAGATGTAAATTAAAAAAATAAAAACTTCAAAAAGAAGTAAAAAAAAAAAAAAAGGATACAGTTTTTAGGAGCATCTGACTCAGTCAGTAGAGCATGTGACTCTTGATCTCAGGGTTGTGAGTTTAAGCCCCATGCAAACAAAAAAGATATCGTTTTTATGAGAAGCTGAGTCTGGAGCATGTCTCCAAATCTCCCTTCTTAACTCTATAGAAGTCAGGTTATTCCAATCTTATATACACCTTATTCTTTGCTACTCTGTTCATTTTTAAATGTTACCCCTTGCCCTTCAACCATTGAAATCTCTTTCTAGCTGTTTTGTTTTTTTTTTAAGGCTAATTCTTATGCCTCACCACATTTAAACTTACCAGGTGTCCAACCTCAACCATACCACAAATCTTCACAAGAGAAGTCAGAATCACATGCTGCTTTGTATTTGCTATACCATATATCACTAGCCTGGTGCTATGCATCTAGGAGATATTCACATACTTGGTGCTTAAACTGAATCAAGACCCAATTTATAACAGGCCAAAATTTGTTCCTTTTAAGCTGTTGTTTTTGTTTTTTGTTTTTTGCAGCTAGCTAATTTTAAAATGACTTCAGGGACACCTGGGTGGCTCAGTCTGTTAAACGTCTGACTTCAGCTCGGGTCATGATCACATGGTTCATGGGTTCCAGCCCCACATAGGGCTCTGTGCTGACAGCTCAGAGCCTGGAGCCTGCTTTGGATCCTGTGTCTCCCTCGCTCTCTGCCCCTCCCTGGCTTGTGCTCTGTCTCCCTTTCTCTCTCAAAAATGAATAAACATTAAAAAAATTTTTTTAAATAATGACTTTTTTTTTGCTAGTTTACTGAGTAGTTCAGGTATAGTTAGACTTACAATTAAAAGTAGAAATTATAATCAAATGGATATTTTCTGACCCTATGAGACTTATTCCTACCTAAATACTTTCTAGATCCTTTTCAGATGATCTTTTTCTCCCCTTTAAAGCAGAAAATAGAAGGGAGAATAACTAGATACCTACAGAATCTAGCACATTCTAGTATACTTTGTACAAAGGAGGGCTACTGACTTGCTCCCTTGTATTTACATAACATAAACAAGATTTTCATCTAAGGCCTTACACAGATTTTGAATTTTTTAAATTACACTTTGGTATATTAACACCAAACTATATGAAAATTAAAATGTTTCCTAGGTGGAGCACCTGGGTGGCTCAGTTGGTTAAGCATCCAACTTCAGCTCAGGTCATGATCCCATGGTTTGTGAGTTCAAGCCCCATATTGGACTCTGTGCTGACAGCTCAGAGCCTGGAGGCTGCTTCAGATTCTGGGTCTCCCTCTCTCTCTGCCCCTCCCCAGCTCACAGTCTCTATCTCTCTCTCTTTCTCTCAAAAATAAATAAACCTAGGGGCGCCTGGGTGGCTCAGTCGGTTGAGCGTCCGACTTCGGCTCAGGTCACGATCTCACGGTCCATGAGTTCGAGCCCCGCGTGGGGCTCTGGGCTGATGGCTCAGAGCCTGGAGCCTGCTTCCGATTCTGTGTCTCCCTCTCTCTCTGACCCTCCCCCGTTCATGCTCTGTCTCTGTCTCAAAAATAAATAAACGTTAAAAAAATTTTTAAAAATAAAAAAATAAAAAAAAAAATAAACCTTTGAAAAAAAACTTCAAGAAAATGTTTCCTAGGAAAAATAGCCCAAAAGACAAAGATGTCTTCCTTTATCATATTTTAGGTATATGGTATCGTCCCCTAAAAAGCCATGTAGTCTTAATTGATTGGTGTGACCACATAATTTTTCCTTCAAACCAGGATACTCTTGAGCATGAAGGGGGGAACAACAATTATCCTAGGATAACAACAACAACAACACATTGGCCACCCTAGTCTTAAGGGATAAAACATCATTAATTAGGCAGCTGCCATTCAAAATATAGATGTCAGATCTACTCAAATCTCACTTTGAGAAGTTTTGAGTTCATTGGAGGAAGGCACAATAGAAACTAAAATATCTTTTTTTTTTTTTTTTTTTTTTTTTTTTTTGGCCTTTGACGTAACATTTGGTCAAAGCTTTGAAAGTAAACAAACTTATGG